TAGCCCATTACTGCAGGCTAGCGTTTGCAGGCTCGTGTGTTTTGCGTGTGCGCCGGCCGGGGTGTTTGTTCACATACAGAGAACATTGCTCACTTGCTAGGGACTATGTTGTGGAGTCTACCCACCAGGCCCAGAACCACTGGGGCCTATCAGGGGCTGTAAATACTTTATGAGATATGATAGTGCAGCACAAACACTCCTCAACCACAGGCCATTAACCATTTTCAGTGGATATGTGCCCTTTGGTAAAGTAAGAAATAATGAAATAAACAAACATTCTCTTCCCCCAGTGACAGCCGAGGCCCTCTGAGGCCTGTATGCAGCTCGCCTGCTAATGAGAGGCAGAGTACGATTCCCCTCCTGCAGGAGAAAGACGAAGGGGGGAGAAAAAAAAAAAGGAAAAAAAAAAAATCATTGGCCAATACAGCGAGATTAGCAAGATTAGCAGCCAACCAGCTCCCCAACAAGACGCCGCCACAGCCGTCGTCTCCCCCCAACTCTCGTCTCTTCTCTTAATTTCTTCCTCTTCCAACTGCTTTTGTTACGCTTGTTCAGGAAAGATTGCAATTTCATTTGTTAGCGCTTCACAGCTCGATAAAGTCGTCGTAAAGAGAAAGAAAGACGAAAAAAAAAACAAAAAGAGAGAGAAAAACTGAAAAAGCAACCGGGGGAGATTGAGTTTACCAAATAACTGGAGACGGGATGTTGTAATTCAAGTGCAGTTTCATCATTCTATCTTTTACTGTGTGTCAAGAGCTGCTCCCTTGTTTATAATAACCTGTCATTGTGTTATTTCCAATTCATTTTTTTTCACCCCCACCACAAACAAAAGTGGTTTTTGTTCCATGCTGTGTTCTCCGGTTGCCATGATGTCACTTGCAGTGACAAAAGCCTTTTTTTCTTTTGTGTTTCTTGTAGTTTTATTGTGTTTTTTTTTTTTTTTCTTTTCTCCCCCGTTTTCCGACCGTCTACGAAAAACATGGCCTCCACCTGAGGATACAGATGCAGATGGCTGTTCACCGCGTTGAGCCATGTGTTCGACTCAAAAACGCTATTCATTCCCTTTAGGGCCTCATTCATCACTTGTACTTTATCTAGCAATTAACAAACAGTAATTGCAATCAGATAAGATCTACGTACTACAATCCTATGTGACAACCGGCTACTGAGCTGACAATGAGGAGAAGCAGCCAGCTGCATGTACTTGGTTGGGGGGAAACAACAAGCGCTCAGAGTCATGATTAAGTGTGCAGCTCGGAGGCTGATGCCTTAATGGTGTCTTCAGGAGATGGACTCTTAGGCCGCGGCCTCTGGCTCTCTAAGTGTATACCACACTCAGATAATCCATTCTTCTTTTGCTATTAGTCCTTTAACAAGCTAAAAGGACGAGTGGCACATCAATCACCACTCTCTAAAGACAAAGTGGTTTGATCAAGCTCGCTGCTTGCTTTTGATCTCGTTTTTTTTTTCTTTTGGTTCTTTTCAACTTTTTTTTTTTTTTGTTCCTTCCCGTATTTGCTCCCCTAATACCGCGGCGAGCGTTGTAATCCTTTTAGTCCAGGACTGAAAGTCAACCCTCACTCCGGGAGGACGTATGTTGCAGAATCTCATTTGGTTGGATGACTCTATCCTCCGCGGACGCACGATAGGAATGCAAAGCACCGGGCCCCATTCAGCTCCTCGCACAAAACAGCCTTTCTTTTCCCCCCCTCAGCCGTCCTGACCTTGCCGCGACGCCTCACAATCTCCTCAATTACAGTAGGTTGGAAGGGGGAGACAGATATCTTGACTTCCGCTCGGCTGCATGTAAAGCAAGCATTGCTTGGCCCCATCTTCGTGTACGGCCCCCGACGTTATCTGGGTCGACGCTGTGTTTTCGTTTTGTTGCACAAATAATACCTTGGGAGGAAGTCGTATTTCACTGTAGGGCGAGACAGCCGCTTTAGGACGGCTTGATGTGAGCGGAATGGACATCGCGCGAGCCGCCACGGAGCTGACAGTAAGCATAAAATATATCGGACAGCCAACAGCAAACAAAGCCCGAGGATGGATGGATGGAAGTCCGATATGTGAGCGTTACCCGATCGGAGGCTCATGTCATGTCGGCTATTAAATGACAAGATGATCCGTGCGTTTCCAGAGACGGAGCGATGCGTTTCCTGCACAGGATGCTATTTGTTTGGAAGCTTCTCATTAGGATGTTTTTTTCCTTTGAGGGGACGCTTACATCCTCTACAAATCCATTACGCCGCCAAGAAAAAGGCACCACAGGTAGTTAGTTCCCCCCCTCCTCCCTCCTCCTCTGCCGCGCCATAATAGAAAATAAACTTTCCAGAATCGCTGTGTCACGAGTTTAGAGTTTATTGTGCGACTGTAATATGCAAATGAAGCGATATCTGGAGAAATGTGCATTCATTTGGACTGATGGATAAAAAAAAAAAAAACCTCCGTCTTCATAAATATGTATCGACAAGACAGTAGATAATGAGGCGTTTTTTTTAAATAGCAACTTTTCAAATGTCGGCGTGTAAAAAGTTCATGTTTTGTTGCGCAGACACGGAGAGGAAAAAAAAAATCCATCCTAGAAGGGTAAACAAACAATAGAACGTCGAGGAAAAGGAACCTAACGAGGAGACTCCAGGAAAACCGCGAGTTACAATTTGCGGGATGGAAGTCTTGCTGCAAACATCTTCGTCACTGAAGTGGTGGCCGCCGCGGTGGTTTCGCTTCTTCTTAGAGGCCACTCGTCACGTTAACAGTCCAGCCGCTCGCCCTGAGTTTTTCTAATGATGCCTGAGTTTCTGTGCGCGCGGCGCTTTTCTTCTCCCTTTTCAACTGTGATGGGTGGTTATGGCTGCTCGCGACGACTTACACAACGCTTCCCCTTTATTCATCGTGAACAAACACAAGTCGGAAATTGAAGACGTTTCGATGAAGCGGCAGCAAAAAAAAAAGATCCAGGATCCTCTTTAGAGCCACGTAGTCAAGTCTGGGCTGTCCTAAAACATTTATAATAACTACAGTTGCACTGTAGAAACTCAAACTCCTGACAGTTACAGTGGTTTCCCCATAAAGCAGCCTTGTTTTGCATGCAGAGTCCTTCAAATAAAACTGCTTTTAACTCACATATCAGCCACAAATTTAAGCAAAAGCCCCCTGATGTGTCTGCGTGAGGTCAATGTGGGTTAAAAGTCGTGTAATCCAGTGTTTCTCGGTGCAACATGACACCTTAGTTTCAGTATAAATTCGAAAACACTACCGTTTTCTGCTGCCTTGACAGATATAAAAATACCTTTTTCCCGTGTTTTTACTCACCACACATGAGCAGCTCTGCAAGGACTCTGCAAGGATACATCAGCTTCACACCGTTTTTTAATTTAAACCTGAATCTATCCGATGAAAAAATACGTCAACAAGACTGTGAATCCGAGCGGGCATTCACTACCTGCTTTTGTTGAGCTTTTAAGGTTCAATTTGCTGCCCTAGTTAACATACTGTGATGTTTTATTTCCCTCAATGTCACTGAATTTAAATGCATGAATTCAAAAACGCTCGCCGAGGAGAAGTCTGGTGACGGGTTTAGATATATTTCTGTTTTCTGGCTGCTCTCAGCTCATGTTGTGCTGTTTCGTCGAACTACGAAGCGAGACTAGCGGGTTATCGAGTTACGTTGAGCCCGAAGTCGGAGTTTTCGGTGTCATATTTTCACCTGCTTGATCACCATGGTAACAGATGCTGCGGAGCTAACCTGGTACCATGAGCGATACAGATTCTCAGCTGAAGGAATGGATTTTTATCTTCAAACTCGATGAGCTGTACGTTACTAGAACCCCTGAATGAAGCCGTTAAATTGCAGCATCGCACGCTGTATGCGTCGTGTTGCCATGGTAACATGGTATGCATATATTCAGTCAGTGATGCAAAAAATCGCAAAAATGTGTTTTTGTTTGGTCTCGATTCTTGATTTCTCGATGTTGAAACACAGGTTAGAAAATATATCATACCACCAGAAATATATTTCATCAGTCAGTCAATAATTAAAGCACTTTAACCCAATAAAAGGTTTAAAGTTGAACAGTTTTAACGTGCAGCTGTCAGTTAGAAATAAGCATTGATCCGTAAAATAAATATATCACCGAAGGTTTCTAGCAGCGTTCCTGTGTGGCATCCTGTGCGGTAGCAGCTCTTTATACTGTTGTAAAGTTTTAGATTCCTCGTTGTTAAAAACATTAAAACAACCTGTTGACTGGAGCAGGAGACACACGACGGAGTCACATGATGCAATAAACGCCTCCTGTAACGTAAAACGAACACCGAAGCAGAAAGTTGAAAACCGCCTTCGTGCTGCTTCAGTCAACAGGTTGTTTTAATGGAGAACAATGAGGAGTTTAAAATATTATGGGATAAAAAAGCGCTGCTACGACAAATGATGAAACTGTCTTAACATATTTATTCTACTGATCGATACAGCTGCACATTAAACCTGCTAAACTACATATGTTTAAACATGATACTGTATTGACGTGCATTTAGTCCTGACTCCATCCCATAATGCAGGAAATCACTCATCAAATCAAAGTGAAATCAATGCTATTGATCGAATCGTCTCTGTAATAAATACCGGTAGAATAATCAATGTTCTGTCAGCTGAAGTAAACGGACCAAACATGAAAACATACTTGTGTGATTTCTGCATCGCCGGCTGTATACGTGTTGGGTTTCCGTGGCAACGGGATACATACGGTGTGTGCGACGCTGTAACTGCGCAGCTTCAGTAACGTGCAGCTCAACAGGTTTGCAGATAAAACAGCATTCAGGCTGAGAATCTGTATCGCTCAGTAAGAATCATCAGGAAACGGTTTGGTTAAAGGGAGGAGAGCGCCACAGCATCCGTTGCCATGGAGATCTAGCAGGTTAAAAGAGAGTCTAGGCCCAACGTGCCTCGATAACCCACTAATCTGGCTTCCTAGTTCGGGCCTGATTCGGAGGCTGACGGTTACCTTTCCGACGTACTGCATGTCCGTCCCGGTGTACTCCTCCAACAAAAAGAACTGGTTCCACATCCAACCTCGTTTCGAGCGTCTGAGCGGCACCCCGTTGGCGTCCTGCCCCGTCAGTCCCGCCCTCCGCCCCCCTGTAGTCCTTCGCAGGGCCCTGAGGCCGAGCCCCGGGCAGCTGAGGTGGGTCATGGCCCACAGCACCATCAGGACGCACACTCTCCTCCCATCCATGGCTGCCGCACCTCCACCGACCGACCGCCTCCGCCGAGCGCCGACCGCCGCCTCCAACCACAGCCGTCTGTCGTCTCTCTGGTCAGAGAATCGGATCGGCTCTCATGCTGTAATCTACTGAAGCAGGAAGGGGCTCCTCAGACTCACATGGGGCGGCAACCGGCACCTTCAAAAAACATTTACACAGACAAACAAGAGTGTCAATACTGGGAGGGGAGGCAGCAATTTGTTACCGCACAAAAGCTCTTGTTTGGTTTCATAACCTGCAGTCAAGAACAACTCAGCTGGTCCGGGGCTCGTTTTTTTTTTAAATTTTATTTGAAGATGCACTGCAGCCGAAACCGAACGAAGATCAAGTGCAAAAAGAACAAACAAACCCCTCGATGTGTCTCTCCAAATATGCGCTTCGTATAAATAAATACAGATAAAGATCTATGAAGCACATTTAGCCAAAAAAAACCCAAACTGAACCAACACTGGAGGAGGAATAAATGATGTAAATGACAGAAAAGCTGAACTGTGAAGCCTCGTTTTATAAGACAAAGTTAGTTTCACTGTCAAATCTTTCACTTTTCATGTGCGTTTTAGTCTTTAAAAAAGACAAAACGCATCAAAATGAAGAAGTTTCAGAGCGAGGCGATGCTAAACAGGAAAACAAAGTCGCACACAGCAGAAAGTTTTCACTTGATTCCAGCGAGCTAAAGATGCTGCGGTGGCTTTGTAAAGCCTGCCCCACGGCAAGAACAGCAAAACTCCTCCGATTTCCTGATTATGATTTATATCTACAAACCTTTTGGTCGTCCAGTCTTCAGTTTTAATTCCTCTGATAGATTTTTTTGTTTGTTTAAGAGGCGTTTGTTGTCAGATATTTCAACCCCCTATTTAGCTTCATCAGGATCCTCCAATGTGAAGGTTTTTTTTTTTTAGCTTCTCTCTGGTTTAAACCATCATACATCTTTTTTTTTTTCTAACTTTCTGTGAATAATACAGCCCTGCCAACCTTGAAGAAAAGTCTTGCAGTACAACCTTAACACGTCTCTGCCTCGTTCCGTCTCTCGCCGACACGAGCTCTTCATGTTATTTTCATTCAGCGGCTGAATACCGAGCTGGAACTGCCTGATTTTTTTATTTTTTTTTTGCGATTTTGTGCCTTTTAATTCACGGCGCTTGCTTAAAACATACATAATATTCTGAAAATGCTCATCATCGGATGTCTTTTTATTGTCCTGCATGTGAAGCGCCTCAAAAAAAAGTCACGTGTAACCGACACGCTCAGTCTGTCTGCTAGCATTTAGCCAACTTAGCTACCAAACAATCACACAGGTAACAGCAGGCTGATGCTAATCCACCATTTAAACTTTCCATACAGCCTCTCGTCTGTTTACCTTTGCAAGAAAGAAAAAAAGCGGTCCTCAGGGGGAAGCAGAGGGATAAAAATCAAGGTCAGGAGTGTTGCAATCGATTTACTGCATCCCGAAATGACATTACGCATTCGTCAATCATCCCCTCTCTGGACTCTCCTCCTCCTCCTCCTCCTCCTCCTTCTTATGCGTTTTGGCAGCTTGGACATTCGTTGGCAAAGATTTGAGCTCTGCAACAAACTCACAAGGAGTCACCGGCTCTTTGCATACATTAGAGCCTCAACCTCCATAAGAGGATGAAGCCGTCACTCACACCGGTGGAGGCAGCGCGTCGTCACCCTGAACATATAAAACTGTTTTGATGGAACCCTCAGTGGACTAAACATCTGGCTGCTAAAATTCTGCTTTTTTTAATCAGCTAATTCTGATTTTAACGACATAAGATGAGCCCACATTGAACACTAAGTCGTCCTCGTTTGGTCTGGTAGCTGCAGGTTCAGGGTCACGCTGTTCAGCAGGTTGTTTTCAGAGCTCTTCATGTGTTTCATCCCTTTATTAAACCCACAACTAAACCTACATCATACATGGACAGACAGATTCCTTGTTTACGTATAAAAACAGATAGATGCTTATTGTGTTCAAACACTTTGCAGTGACAATAGAAAGATTAAGATTTTTTATTTTTATTCTTTTTACATAAAATCATACGATAAAGCCCGACTAAGAACAGATTACTGGCCTGATTACTTGTATTTTAGCATTATTACACCACATTTACAGGTAATTCAACTGTTTTGATGCACTTAAATATACTCAAACATTAAAAAGACATTAAAAAAATAGATTGGAAACTGTAATTTAACTTATAATTTTAATGCATGTTTCTGCGGCCCAGCTTTTCACATTTTTAGACCATTTACTTGAGATTTAAAAGACAAATACTGCATGTTGTGTATGTTTATTTTTTGATTGTTTTTTTCTTTTATTAAACTTTGAGCACTGCATGTTTTTTTTTCATTATTATTATTATTGTTTAAACTTTTTTCATGCTGCACATTTTCTATACTATATTTTTTTACAATACTTCGTCTTCAGTTAGTTTTCGTACTTAAAAGTATTTTTTTCTTTTGCTCAGTTGCCAAAATATGACAAGATGTTTTTGTTTGTTTTTTTAAAGTATTTATTTTACAAATGCAAGTCTCTTTTTTGCAAACTTTAGGTATAAGTTTTTCTTTTTTACATTTTGCACACTGTATACTGTTTTTACTTTTTTAACACGCTGCACATTTCTCTACATTGTTTTTCTCTTTACAGGCTGCACACCTTTGTGTTGCCTTGTTCCAAGTCTTCAGCAGGTTTTAGCATCTTTGTGAAAAGTTTTTTTTGCCGTAAACGATGGTTCCTGACTGTGACTGTAGCTGCTGCACCAAACTAATCTCCTGCAAATGATCAACAGTGTCTCTGTGCTGTCACCAGCTTTCTGTGGATTTTACTGTCCCGGCGCATTTGTAACAAAATGCTTAAAGGTTGGCAGGACCGACGACTAAAAAAAAAAAATATCAGTGTTGGAATTTGCTGACAGTTCGCTCCAATCTGACGCCGCCAAATGAAAACTGACAAAACATGTTTGTCGAATCTTTAATTAAAAAAGAGCCACAATCTGTCCATTTGCGCTGTTTGTGTTGAAAAATGTAAAAACAAAGAAGCCGATTTTGGGACGATCTCCTGCTGCACAGAAACCCAAAGCAGAGCGAACGTAATGATCACCTAATTTGACTCAACAGCCTGCGTTTATTACCGCAATTATTTAAAATACTGCGTCGCACGTGCCATTCGTTACTGCAATGCAACCAAAAAAGATAACCTCACATGAATTAGCTCCAGTGGACCTCTAACGGGTTTTTAATGCCGACCCCAACAGGACCAAACTTCCCAACGGCCCGACGTAAACACACCGCCTTGGGATTACTTTTTTTTTTTTTTTAAGAAACCAAACAGGTATTTCTAGAGAAAGATCACAGCAGATAATCATCAGTCGCGGCCACATCCCTGGTACCGATCCATCCTCATGAAATCTGTGCTCATTAAAATACCAGAGGCGGAGGATTTTGAGTGATCAAATGCAGGTCAAACACGCCGACGAGACCGAAATGATAAAAGCAACTCGCAGGTTTCGCATCTCCACCGAACCGCGATATACATTCATGAGCACGCTCGGTACTGTATGTTGAATGTCAGTCTTGTGATTGACGTGCGGCGCCGAGTGCTGCCTAACCTGATAAATATCAGATTAGAACTTTTTTTTTTTTTTTTTAGCACATCAATGTATGGAGCTTACATCTCTCGCAGCATGTGTAGAGCTACTTTATCTGCATTAAGCCCCTGAATCAACATCTAATAGAGTGCGAGTGCTGTATGTGGAGCGGCCCGATTCTATCTTTTGCTTCGGCACACTTTGTTATCGGACCCAGCAGAATGCCAGCGGAGACCCTGGGCAATGTCAACCCCAGTTTATTACCTTAAGATCAGTGTAAAGATACCGAACAAAATGACTGTTTGAAAATCTCGCCGCCCCGACGCGGCCAGCGGAGTGTCTCACCGGTTATTCCTCCCAAACCCCGGTCCTCTTTTTTTTTTTTTTTTTCTGCCCTCCGAAGGCCAACGAGAGAGAAAAGGAACAAGAGGACCGGGAGGAGGAGGGAGAAAGAAGGCCATGTATTATGCTTTTGTTCTCATTATTCCTCGGCGGCGGGGCGATATCCAGGCCGGCCTCAGCTGAGGGTTTGGTGGGAGGGTTATCGGCGGCGTCCGCTGGGGAGCGTCTAGCCGCCGATGTTGGGCAGATCTTCCTCCCTTCGCACGGCATGCTGGGGGAACATGAATTAAGCAGCCTGACCTGCATACGGTAGCGGAGGCCGAACGGGGAAATGGAGCGAGAGAAAAAGGTGCTGCTGACGCTTTCGACTTAAGTTTGCAAGAAATGAAGTTTAAAAAAAAAAAACCCATCAGGCGGTGTCACAGAACAACCGCTGAGATCCAGATGCCTCGTCGGCGGCTTTGTAGGAACTTTACAGGAGGTTTTGATGTCGGCTGGGCGTCTTTGTTCGGCTCGATAAACAAAATACAGTAGCTGCATATTCCACTCACTGTGCCAGTCTGTCAGGGCTGTTAGCGGTTCAAAACATAATGGAGAGTTTGATACGATTGTGTGTTTTCGGCTGCTCGTCTCTTGTCGGCTCCACCGGCGGAGGTTCATAAAGACGGTTCGACTGTCTTGTTTACTTTCGCTCTCAGAAGCCCATCGCAGAGTTCAGCGAGGGCTCAGACTCCGGCGTCATGTAAAGATTCTCACTTTGCCTTTCTCTCGCGCCCGACGGCGAGCGGCTCGTAGCGGGCTGCACAACATCACAAACTCCAGCTATTGTGCGGAGAGTTTTTTTTTTTTTTTTTCAAAACAAAAATGCTTCACACAGGGAAGAAAAAGAGAAAAGAGGGAATAAAGGAAACAAAGCAGAAGAAGAAAATGGGTATCCAGCACCATTCCAGCTTGTTTACTTGCTCGTCCACATGGGTCCACGTTACAGCTGCAGCAATTTATTGATTAGTTGTCGACTGTTACGTTAAAAAGCCTAAATTCTCCGATTCTCGCTCCTTAAATGTGAGTATTTTCTGGTTTCTTTCACTCCGGTGACGGTAAACTGATCCAACATTTGTCATTTTGGCCATTTGAGAAACATTTTTCCAGCATTTTCTAACATTTTAAAGTCCCACAAACGAATCGATCAATCAAGAAAACAATAAACAG